TGTCCAAATCTGCCAGAGTATTAAATGATAATTATAATTAAAGTATCACTGAGTGCTTCTCATGTGCTAGGCCCTGTTCTAAGAGCTTTACATGCTTAATCTTCACATTATCTCATTATTTTTTTTTATATTCTAAATGAAGTGACTGAAGCATGGAGAGGCTAAAAGCTTCATCCAAAGGCACTCAAAGAATAAGTGCTGGAGCCAAGATCTGAACACAAAATGATGTGACCCTGTGTCCTCGCTCTTAATCCCAATGCTATGCTAGATAATTCTGGCAAAGTGCTTATAATACAGTATTACAGCAAATACAACGGGTATTTAGCAGATAAAGGCAGCGGTTATTAGCAGGATCCTCTTAGTTCCCACGAAAAGTGTCACCCCCAGGAGAGCAGCGACCTTGTCTGTCTGGGTGACTGCTGTGTTCCCAGCATCTGGCCCAACGCACATCTGAAGGATGAATAAATGAATGAACGTCTCTCCCAGAAAACAGGGCTGCCTATGTATGACTCTTTTTCGCACGTTTATGTCGCTTTACTGTTACTGCCCCTTAGAAAGAGCATCAGGCGGATTTGAGGACACAGGCGCTCGGAGACCTGCGATCCCCCTTTTCACCGCTCAGGGGTGGCCGAAGCAGCTCCTAAGGGAGCGGGGAACGAGTCTGCGGTACCGCAGCTGACGGGTCCTGGCTCCAGCGGGGCTCTACTTTCCACCCCGTTGGGGATACTGTCCGCCCGGGCACTGGGATCTGGCAGGAGACAAAGACTCGAAGGGCCGCCACAGCAGCAGAGATGCTCGCTCTCCTCGCCCACCTCCCCGGGAGGGAGCCCAAAACCACCGTGCCTCGTCTGGCCTGGGATCTACGGCGGAGAGCAGCCGGCCCGAGCCCCAGGCCACGCAGACACGCACCGCGGCCCCACCTATTTGCCCCTTGCCGAGGGTCGCTCTGGAGCGGGAGGCCGCGGGCCGGGCTGGCCTGTCACCTTCAGGACGGCCCGCCCACTCCCGCGCCCTCCGCCGAGGCTTCTCAGCGCGAACCGCCACCGCTCAGACAGGCCTCCCCGCGCTTCAGCTTTCCCGTGGCACCCTCCTCGCGCCCCGGCGCCGCGCCCCCTCCTGTCCATCCCGCTGGTACCTGCTGGGAGAGCGGGAGGAGCGGCGCCGCCATCTTCCCGCGGACTCGGGCTCCGAGCGCCGGGGGACGGGGCGGGGCCGCGCATGCGCACTGATGCGAGGGAGGTGCGCGCGCAGTTGTGCCGGGAGTGGGCGGGGCCGAGCTAGCACGCGCACGCGCCTAGCCCAGGCCGGGACGGGACGGGACGGGACGGGACGGGACGGGACGGGACGGGGAAGCACACGGGAACTGGGACCCTAACCCGGTGTCGGCCCAAGTTTACAGCCCTTGGCGGGCTGTCGGACTTGGCAGTGCTGTCATCCCTCCAGGC